AGAATAAACAGAGGAGGTACTATCTGTCAACATAGCAGGCAAAAGTAAGGAGTCTTCTTTCTCAGCATGGCAAGGAAGACCATGTTTTGAGGCAACAAGCGCGATTACCAAGTCAAATACTATTCTGAATAAGGAATCCCTACCTTCTTGTTAGCACTTTCTCCTGCTGTATATGACATGATCCTGCATCTTTGTCTGATACTGCGGGGGTCAACCTGTTGTCTTAGAATTAATCCTTAGTAACTAGCATTTCCTTCCAGTCTAAAAAGTATCCAGGGTTGCATGATGAATTTTATGGCTAGTCCTTGCTTCGGAACAATTGGTATGCTGAGATGCCTTGTCTCTTTTTTGGCACACATGTACATACATGTGGGCATTCTCATGCATACATGCACACCTGTCTGTCTGTCTGTCTATCTATCTATCTATCTACTTTTAGAAGTGGGAACTATGACATATTATGATTACATCTGCTAAATCAGAAAGTCTTTGAAATTGCAGAAACTCAAGTGGCTTTTGAGTAGCACATGAACATTCCATAAATATTTACTTACAATAACTTATACACACATAATTATACACATACAAATATTATATACACTATACATATAGTGTACATGTGTGTATATATAATGATATCATTTGACATTCTACTTTTATACTATAGCCAATAGTCAATAAGACTGGAGGAGTTCATTAGCTATGTGAACAGAAAGCTATAGTAACATCTGGAGAGATGTCTGCCAGTTTGCTGCTAGCTTGGAGTTCTATCTGTAATTGATACATTCTGAACAGCCTGGTAACTGGATATAGCCACAAAGACAAGACAAGTGAGCTTTTATTCAGCAAAAGGAAGCTACATTAATGCCACTTTCAAATACCTTAGAATGGGGACATTTGCCAGTGCTGACTATTGCAGAAGTTCTCCATTAAACTAGTCTATTAACAAAAGTTCTTGAATATTTTTGATAAAGCTAATTACAAGTATTAGATAAACAGAAGAAAACCCACCTGTCTTTTATTTCCAAGGATGGCTTGTGTTTAGTAACAGCTTTTCCCTGCTGTAGGTTGCATACATGTGATTGGTAAATATTCCAGCAAGTATTATGGTCCCATATTCATATTTCTAGTGTAGAAGGGATTTAGATCAATGATTTCTGCCTAACAAGTGTTGCTTGGAGATAATTTTCCCACTGCTTGTTTGGTTCTGCCCAAACACAGCTGTAAGGTCTTTCTTTCTATATTTGGAGTCGGAAGGACTGATGGCTTCCATCCACCATCTGGAAGAGGACGTGTTGAGCAGGAGAGAAGACAGAGGAGATGGGAAAGCAAGGCTCAGTTACATGGCTGGGGAGATACTCTTAGAGTCTTCCCTACCTTGTATCGCTGTCCTTATCATAAAATCAGACTCTATATGCCAATGAGGGGATGCAATATGTGAAGCTCTCTCTCTCTCTCTCTCTCTCTCTCTCTCTCTCTCTCTCTCTCTCTCTCTCTCTCTCCCCATCCTCCCTCTTCCCCTCTCATGTGTGTGTATGTAATGTTTGCAAGTGTCTGGGTGACTGTGCATGCGTGTGCTTGTAGAGGTTCAAGATTGGTGCTTAAGAGTCTTCCTTGGCAACTCTCCACCTTACTGGTTGAGGCATGGTCTCTCAATTGAACCCAGAGTTTAACAATACAACTAATCCAGCTCGCACCAGGGATCCCTGTCTCTGCCTCCTGAATACCACCATGTCTGTACCACTCAGAATTTACATGAGTTCTGGGGATCAAACCCTAGTTCTTACACTTGCATCGAGAGTGCTTTAACCACTGAGCTATGTTCCTAGACGCAGGGGAAATTTTTGTTAGTTTTATCACATCTAATGCCTCTGTTTTAGAGTAGGTTATGTACTACTCTTTCCTAAAATTAAGTGATTCCTAACAAACTTCAAAAATGTTAATATAACTGTCATAGTTTGAGTGAAAATGGTCACAAATAGGCTATTGGGAGGTGTGGTCTTGTTGGAGTAGTTGTAGCCTTGTTGGAGGAAGTGTGTCACTGGAGGTGAATTTTGGGGTTTCAGAAGCCAAAGACAGGCCCAATGGCACTCTCCCTTCTGCCACTTTGGATATAAAACTCTCAGCTTCCCTTCCAGCACCATGCCTGCCTGCATGTTATCATGCTTCCTGCCATGACAATACCTGACTAAATCTCTGGACTGTAAGCCAGGCCCAATTCAACGTTTTGCCTTACAAGAGTCACTGTGGCTATGGTGTCTCTTCATAGCAATAAACCCCTAACTAAGACAATGACACAATGATAACAAAAAGCTCAAGAGTTGTTGAAATAGCATACAGTAAAATAGTTCAATATAATATATTCCATGGTGATTCACAAAAGAAGGCATAGTGTAGTACTCAAGTGTTTGCATCTCAGTTTTATTTATCTTAACTGTAACAGGTACAAATACATATGGATACAGGAGTGCCTCCTGTTATTGTTTAGAAAACTCACAAATTCCTTTGTAACATAGTGGCTTCATTCTCTTCATTCTCTGGAAGTCCCTTCCCTTTGAGATTACACTTGAGACTCAGTTTTAGGCACACAATTTTGAACAAGTGTTTCTATTTATATGAGTTATATAGGTGGACATTCAAAGATTATGCATGACTTGGGGGTAGTTCTTCAAGCTGAAGAGCTGCTTTGTGCATCCCATGCTTTTTAGCAGACCTGATGCCTTCTTGTTGAGTAGTGGAGATCTCCTATAGCAATTTAATAACAAGTAAATATGACAACCCCATTTCCAACATATAATCTGAGGGAGGGTATTAACTCCACAGGACCATACATCACTCAAGCCACTAATGTACATTAGACCTCAGTCCCATTAAAAAAAACACTTTCCATTTTTGACAGCTACATACACTTACATCATAAATTTTAGTGATTTTCTCACCCCATTTCCCCTCTTCATCCCCTCTCTCAATATTGCCCACTGAGTTTGCTAAGGTTACTTGCCTGAGTGTAAGTAGAAGGTCAGTCCTATTTTTATTCTAATATGTATCATTGGAAGGACTCTGTATCTATGTTCTAGTTGGAATAGAGGAAACATCATTCTTTTGGGGAAATGGGTTGGTAGACACTCAACATAGTAAAGAAAATATATATTCATTCTAACATTTATTTATTTATTTGCTGGCTTATAGATAAGTGTGGTTTCTTCCAGGATTCAGGAAAATTTAGGTGTAGGAAAGATTACTGGTACCATTACTGTTGTGGTGTCAAAAATTTTTTCCTTATTTTGAACACTGCTACCATCTTTGCATACAAATTCTTAAAGAAATACAGTTTGATTAGCAGTTAAAGCCAGACCTTTTGCCACAAGGGAGACTAAGCTCTTTAGATTCTAATATTCTCATTCCATTTAGTGAGAGGTTGATGCTTCCTCCAGGATTCCTTATGTTATGGAAGGTTCGATTTTGTAACAAATGATCCTGATTTATATATATATACATAAAAGTACTTCTCAACATTGTACATTTTTTGTTTAAATTAAGTATTGCTTATGATTGCATGCTTGTCATAGATGATATGTAATTGCTGGAATCATCCTGATGTATCAAGGATACCAGTTGCTGCAAACATTGCAAGCCACAGTTTGAGGCACAGAGAATTTGTTGAACTGACATCATACATTGTCATTCTGTGATAAATTCTACTTGTATTTTAATTTTATATCAAATTAAATGAACAAGCATATTACTAAGGAAACTGCATGTGGCAGAAGAAAGCTTATAGAAATTTTAATGCATTGTACTAATGACAACTGTGGAGGAAATCATCAGACATTGAAAGGAAGAACAAGATGACAAATATCATTAACGACTGTCTTTATTTGCATTGTGTATAGCATCACCAAGCTCAGTGCAACCCCGCAGCTACTAGAAACATAATCTTTGAATGAATGTCTTTTGAATAAAAAGTTAGACATGAATGCTTACTTAATTTACAAAATCTCACTACCATTGAAACTTAAGAGTCACTTAGCTATTTTCTCCATACACGATAAAGCAAGAATAAACATAAGTGCCATTTGTATGCAATGATGCACTTTAAAAACGTGGAAAGCAGAGCAATAGAGTGGAAGAGAGAGGGAGAAAATAGATGCTTCCTCTCAGTAGCATTTTGTCTGTGATCACTTTTAGGTTTTCTCAAAGCTGGGACAGGGACTACTCGTGCTTGTTGCCCGCACTGGAGCCTGGTAGTTATCTAGTAAACATAGTCCCTGTGCAGACTTGTGGAAATCAAGTCAGGGCCCTCACAGTCTCTATAGCAGTGGCCCACGATTTGGGAGTGTCTGCCCTTCGTTTAAGAATTTCTGAGCTTGGAGAGCAGTGCAATTGTGCGTTTGTGATTATTACGTGTTGGCAGCATTAGCAAGAATTTCTGAGGTTGGAGCGCAGTGTAGTTGTGCGCTTGTCATTGTTACGTGGCCTGTTGGCAGCACAGTGTCAGTGATAAAAGTACCCATGCAAGAAGGCACTTTTCCTGGTTTTGCAACAGAGATCGATTTCCCTGTCGTTAATGCGGGGCTGACACTGACCCGGAGGAACGTGCGTGGTGGTGCATTTACGTCTGCCCAGGGTGGCAGCTACTGTTGGAAACCAACGACGCTGGCGAGAGAGAGGCCTCCCTCCCCTTCGCAGCGCTAAGGGCACCCGGGAGCTCAAGTCCCCTTCTTCACGCCCAGGCGAGCCCAGCCCCGACCCGCCCCTCCGCTCCCCTTCCCGCCCCGCCCCGCCCAGCCCGGGCCGAAGCCCCGCCCCTCCCAGAACCGTCCTCCAATCGGCTGCGGTGCGCGTGCCCGGCCCTCCTCGGGTGTCACGTGACAAAGCCCCGGCGGCTTCCGGTGCGTCGCGGGCGGCTGACGTCCGCGGCCGGCGTCGCGTCAGGGCTGCCCGGCGGCGGCGGCGGCGGCGGCGGCTGTGGCGGCGGCGGTGGTGGCGGAGGCGGCGATGGCAGCGGCCCCCGAGCGGGCTTGAGGGCTCGGACCCGGCTCCTTCCCGCGTTTCCTCGGGGCCGACGCGGCGCCGCGGGCCCGGCTCCTGCTCCCTCCCCGGCCGCTCGCCCGGGCAGACGCGGACGAGGCCCGCGCTGGCCGCCTTGTCGCACCCCCGGCTCGGCCCCGGACGGCCCGGCTGCTGTGCGGAGAGGAGGCCGAGTCGGTAAGAGGCGGCGGCGGGGCCCGGGGGCTGCCGGGTCCCCGGGCCGCACCGGCGCTCCCTCGCTCGCTCGCTCCCGGCTCCCCGCCTGCCACTCGCCGGCCCTATTGTCTGCGCGCCGCCGGCCGCGATCCCCCGCCTCCCCTTCCCCTGCCCCGCCGGCCGCCGAGAGCCGGCTGTCAACCTGCGGCTCCCTCCCGGGCTCCGCGCCAGCCGCGCCGCGGCCTTTTCCTGGCTTCCCCTTGCCACCTTCGCCCGCATGGGCCCGCCTCGTCCCCCCACCTCGGCTGAGCTTCGCGGTCTTTCCCTGCTTGCCTCCCGCTCGCTTGCCCGCTCTGTGTTTCTGTCTCTGTCATCTCCGCTAACTTCATCGCAGTTCTTCTTTTTTAACCGCTTTCCCCTCTCTTTTCATTCCTTTTTTTTCTCCTCTCTCTGTCTCTCTGTCTCTGTCTCTGTCTCTGTCTCTCTCTCTCAATCTCTGTGTCTCTGTCTCTCTCCTCTCTGTCTCTGTCTCCTCTGTCTCCTCTCTCTCTCTGGGTTTAAGGATCTTTCCAGTAGAATGTCTTTTGTAAACTTTGTTAATTCAGGTGCCTCCTTCATCCCCCCCCCGTCCGTCTCCCCCTCCCCCGTGCCCTGCAGCCCCCCACAGGAGAATGGAATTCGCCCTGTGCCTTTTGAGGTGCCTCATTCCTGAGAGTCACTTGGGGGATTAGGTTTACAGGCTGGAAGTTTGATCTCAGGAAATGTTAGCTTAACTGGCAATTTGCCTGCTCTTCGGATTCGGTTTCAGCCCCTTTAAGTAACAGCCTCGTGTGTTGCACACTTAGAGGATTTCTACTGAAAACATTTTATGTTTGTTCCCATTACACCCAGCGCACCCTGGCTACAAATCTTAACCCCACTGATGTCATGCCAGAATACTCTACAGCCCCTCCACAGCCCCTTAGCCGAGAGCTTGTAAACTTGGCCCCCCACATTTTTGTTTGTGGCCAGCATTGATGCTATTTCTCTCTTCCTTTACATTTCAGATATTCAAACAAACAAAAAAACAGGAAGGCACATTTGTTTGCCATCATATTTTGCCTGTTTTAAACAGTAGCCAAACCATTATAAAAAAATTGCAGTTGTATGAGGTTTATTTTTTTAAAGTTTTTGTTTTCTGTGTGAGCTTTTGTATTATTTTATGCTGGAGGGAGTCTAGTCAGTAGTAATATAAAACATGTTTTAACCATCTTCCTCCAACAATAACATCTTTACCTTCCCGATTACTAATTGTATTTTGATGAGACTTAGCATACCAATTATATTTCATTCCAGTGTTGATACTCTGGGAATGTATTCATTTTCCTCAAACACTTAGTAGTGAAAAAGTCCTCAAGTGTGCTAGGAGGCCAGTGTGGCTTAGAGAACAGTAAATAACTTGACCTGTGAATGATCTACAGAGAAATCCTTTGCAGGTTTTCCCTTTCCTTATGAGAAACTTCTTTACTGTGATTGTGGGCACTATGTTGAGTTAACGATAGAAACTGTACTCAGAGTCAGACTCTGGCATTATTGATTATGAAACGTGAATTTAAGAAAAGAATCCTCTGCAGCCCTTTATGTTAAAACTGTCAAGAGGTGTACTGCAGAGGTCGTATGCAATAGCGCATCCTGATCTCACAGGGACGTTGGTCAGGATCCTCAATGTCCTCAGTGGCACACAACATGTCTACTGCTTCCTCCATATTTTTAGGGTTTCATATAGGGATGTACACTTTGACGTACCAAAATTCTTCTGGAAAGTAAATGAAAAACCATTAAGCTACTCCCCTCAAGGATTTCAGTAAACAAACAGGATTGTCCTAATTTTTAAAACCAGCAGTTTCCACCTTCTTTGGGTAGAGCTTTCTTGGGTATGTCTGAGTTAAGGTTGAAGGCGTTTTCGCCATTCATAAGTCTCAATCGCTTGTCTTTTTCAGCTAGTTTTCCTTTCAGTATTCCATTTATTAATCTGGCTTTGCTAGGGCCGCCTTCATGTTGTATGCTTCCTACAGGAACTGGTAACACTCTAATTAGAAACAAACGAACAAACCTGGAAAGTATTGCATGTGTTACTCTGAAAGTTACTTAAGTTTGGTCTGTTCCTATGAGCCATATCCCCTGTGCATTTCATGCATTAGAATCTAACTTTCTTTTTTCCTCTTGAGGTAGTGGAAAGAAAACACTGAAGAATAGGATCTCAAGATGAGTAAAAAGCCCCCAAATCGTCCTGGAATCACTTTTGAGATTGGTGCTCGTTTGGAGGCACTGGACTACTTACAGAAATGGTATGGAAAATACAGAACTTTGACCAAAATCACCAAACGTGCAACCTTAGTAAGCCAGTGGCTATCCTAACCACATGTCAGTCTCATGAGCATAGCTGTCCCTTGAGTACACGTGCTCACTGGGGTTAGGTTTAGCCTTTGTAAGCTTCACAGATTGTGTAGTATAGCGCCTTAGATATGGGAGATCTGGGAGTATTTTCCTAGAGTATGAGACAAATAGAGGGGATGGTACCCTTGAGTAACTGCTTTCTTGCCCTTTATCAGGTGATATCAGTGATTAGGATCTTGCTTTGATAGTGTCCCTGTCCATCCTTCTTATCCCACTGAAAACCAGACCACATCTGACCTCTTCCTTGCTTACAGAGCAGAACCTCGTGCTGGACTAGAAAGGCAGACTCCCAGAACTGCACTTTTCTCTCGTTTTGGGCATCTGTGGCAGGTGGCCTGTAGAACCCCGACGTGAGCCACGCCACAGTGGTGTGGGGAAGGGTGACATGCTAGTGCGAATTCCGTGTGGCTGGGGAAGGAGGGAGACAGCACACAGGGGTCACTGACCAACAGGAAGAAGGATGAGGGAGTGAGTTGCTCATTCCTCCTGGTGGCTCATCGCTCTGCCTTCCAGGCAAATGCTCTCCTGTTGGCATTCATGAGCCTGAGAGAAGCATTGATAGTTTCTGCCTGGCACCGTTGCTGCCTTTGCTCCTTCACCCAACACTCATTTGTTCCCGAGAAGGGCCTTGGAGCTTAGCTACTTCAGGACTGTATTCACCACACACTTTGACATTTCCTCTCACTGTGTCTCCATTAAAGCCACGATGGGCGCCAGTAGATTCGCATATGATCGATTTGCCTTCAGTCAACTCACCAAATTTGCAGTGGTAGACAGAAATCTTGTTTAGTCATAGTATTGACTTGAGACTAGCCCTCGACTTTTGTTTGCTAACATCTAGCCTTAGACCTCAGCATGTCTTTATCACCTGGCTTAATGGACTCACTTTGGGGCTCTTTAGGACAGTTTGGAACTCGCTTTGAGGATGAGTGACAGTTATTTTGCTACTCTGTGGCTCGTTCTTTTAAGGAGCCTGCTTCTTACCAGGTAGTATACAGAGTGTTTCTTTGAACTTGGGAAGCACCCGAGAAATAGGCTTCATCATAGTACGGTGACTAAGGAACAGTCTCTGGATTGTTGCAAATGTCAGCAAGGATCTGTTGGTGACAGTGGTGGCGTATTCCCAGTTACAATGTGGTTCCTTCACACCATGCAGCAGCAGCAGATGCCAGTTTGTGCAGAATTGGCTTTCTTGGGTGTGGTTTAGCCAGCATCCATTTACTACAGAGGCACACTATTGAAACTTTGTGAGATATGAGTATAGAAAGAATCCTGTTTTGATGTGAAACTTGACATTCTGTTTTTGTTACTGCTTTTAGGAATATTTAATACATATTAATATATATTAGGAATATTTAATATATATTCTCATAGGCCTCTTAGTCAACAAAGTGCCATTGAGCTAGCTTCTAGCTTTGAAGAAACACTAGCTTATTTTAGTTCATGCAGTAGTTTTTAGGAACACAAACATAACTTTGGCCTTTGTTGTATAAGAAGTTTACTTTTGGTGGGAAAATGTTGTCTGATTCAGTGACTGTTAAATTTTGATTCGGTAATTAAATTTAAAAAATATTTTTAGAGAAATCCTTGTTCAGTGTCCTATGCCTCAGAGTAGCATTCCTGAAAACAAGTCAGTTGTAGCTTCTCAACGAGAGGTTCGTGTAATGTGTACCTGTATTTCTGGTAAGCTCAGTGATAATAGTCTCATTGACAAACATTGGCTGATACCGACATTTGTCTTGAGTTTAACTTTTATAAGCTCATTTATATAAACACTGCTCTTAATATGTCTTCTTAAAAACCTTTCAGACTATTGTGTGTGTATTCACATGCATACTCACTTAGGTAATTCATTTTCTTAAGATTGAGTTTTGCTTTTTTTCTTTTTTAGTCAGTATCAGGAAATAGAGATAGATCAATCTTAAATTAGTATCAAGTGGTTTACCACAGAACAGCTGTTGAACTACTGAAATCTACTTAAATTTCTATTTGGCACAAAAGTTATATGAAGCTGGGTTTTTTTGTTTGTTTTCTTTTTAAACAGGTTATATAACTAAACAAGACAATTATTCATACATAATAGTATGTGTATCATCCTACTTGTAAAAGACCACTCAGTATTTCACATAAAGTCTTCACATGTTTCCTTTAGTATCAAATAAAAATTAAGAATACTTTGGTTTTCAAAAACCTGAGTAATTTCGTGAGGACCAGAATAGCTAATAGTTGAAAATACACTAAATATAAGTGTGATACTTGTTCACGCATAGTGAGTGCTTTTATCCTTGCGCATTCAATTCCACTTGAAAACTGTTGGTTCATGTTTGATACGTTCTTGAACTGTTAAGGAGTTGGACAGGCAGAGCACAGCAGAATTACAAATCTTGCTTACCTTTTTTGTTCTCAAGACATGTACACTGGAACCACATACTGTGGAATCAGTTGACTACATGTTGTACATTTTCTTTTAAAAAGAAGTATCAGAGATGACAGAGGGATAAAGAGAGCTTGTGACTTTCCCATAGGATCCAAGTTCAGTTTCCAGTACCCATGTGGAAAGGCTTTACAGCTGCCTGTAACTCCAGCTCCAGGGGGTCAGATACTCTCAAAATGCCAGTTAGTTTGCACTGTATATATAACAGGTTTTCATGAATAAAAAAGGAAAATAAATTTTGTTGTGTCCTGGTAGTAAAAGGATACACTAACTTTAGTGGGAAGAAATAAACTGAAGCTAAGCTCCTTCTTTTAGGGTTAGGAAGACTTAAGTCTGTTTTCTAGGAAGAATACCATCAGTAGTGCTTGAATAGCCAATGCTGCATATCTCCTTAAAAACAGCTACAGCACTAATGAATATAGGCCATGACAAGTCACTGTGGAGTTGGACTTTGTATTTTCTTTTGCTATCCAGATCTCTTCTACATAGAGTAAACTTATACTTGAGTTTTTAAATATTTTGCCATCTTATGTAAAACATTTTTAACTTATTTTCTGAACAACCTGCACAAGGACTTTAATGTGCCAGATTAGCTAATGTAAGCAGCTGTTTTACATTATATTTTTCCATGATATTATCCACTGCTACTTATGTCTGCTCAAACCTTGACTTTGAGATTTATCTCTGGAAGACAACAGCATAAAAATACCAAAACAAGTATTTTGGTATAGGAATATATTTGAGGAAAGAGAATGTTGATAATAAAGTTATATCAAAGACACTAAGTGGATGGTTTTTAATTTATGCAGTTACTTATTGATCTGGTAAGTATGGGGAAATCCTGGTTTAACAGTGCCACTGGCTGTTATCCATACATTACTTTTAGAATCAAGTAAAAACATATCTAAACTTGCTTTGAATTCTACAATTTCACACTGAAACACTGACATAAATACAAAGGGAGCAGGAGAGCTGGAAAATCAGCCTTTGGAGATCTGAAGACTTCAGTGTCCAGGCTTTTGATAGACTTTAGTGTTGGCATGGGAGTGAGCTAGACTCACACTGGGAAAAGATGTTGCAGCGGGCTGTGAGAGCGTAGTCCGCTTAAGCTCATCGCACCTTCTACTCCTGTGGACTTTTATAGATTGCCAAGCAGCTGTACGCATAGCGACCCCTAACCACATGGAATATAGTTGGTAAGAAATAATGATAGTGGTTTTAACAGGCCTACTGCTGCTGTTCGATTAGGTTGTTATTCTGTAGTTAGTGATTTATTTATGAGAACACAGCAGATGGAGTGATATGCTGCTAGTCTTATGAGGTTTGAAATACAGTCAACTTAAAGGATTCAGATGAGCTCTGCTCTTCTGACTTCCTTTGGAATATTTCTATTAATTCTCTTGTAGATCTAAAGAAAAGTGAGAGAGTAAGAAGTATGGAGATGCCTCCAAGTATGAGAGTTTGCTAGAACAGTTCAATCGAGTTGGCAAATGCTGCTCCCACACATTTGGAGGGTTTGAATTACATGGAACATTTGCAAATGTGAATGTTTAAGTCGTTCACCAATAGAATTTCAATACGTGAGAAAATTCAAGAAGTTAAGATTGCAGTTGTCACATACCTTCTCTTTGAAAATAAATGCACATTTTCTGAATAAAAAAGTTCACTTTAAATTGGTGGCTTTTTAGAGGAATATAGAGGTGTGTAATCTATATTGAGGGCAGGAGGATGCCCCTGAACATTAGTCATTTTAAAAGTAAAGATAGAGATTCTTAAGCTGATGTGAATACAGGTTTTGTCCTTTTGTGTTTGGAATTTCAAAAGATTTTTTGATACTTGAAATGTAATTACTTTGAGCCACTCACTGCCATTGAAAGCCTGATTACTGCTGTAGACTCGGGGGAAAAAATGTAGTTGCATGTATGATACCAAAATAATTGAATCATATATTAGGTTCATAAAGACACTGAAAAAATCAATGAACTACAGATTAAGGGCCCATTTTTTCAGAGAACTCAAATTGAAATGGTAAGAACTTTGTTTTAAATTCTGATGTTTAATCTACTTTAAGCACTTTAAACTTGCACAAGCCAGAGCTCTGCTGATGCTAATGGTGAGACTCTCCTGACATAAAAGGCGTGAACAGTGGGTTTAGGAATAGGATAGGGTGGGCTCATTAGTTGAGAACATACGTGCTCGCCATTCTTGTTATGAACCACATGGACTCCGTGTGTTGATGTGTTTTAAATCCATTTTCTGGTTTGCACATTTGGTTGGTTTTTGTTTTTAAACTGGTTTTCTTTGAAAAGAAAGGATTATTGGGTAAAGAAAATTAATTAGAATCCCGAAAATAAGTGTAGATTTTTTTTTGTCATAAGTCTTGTGTCTCTGCTTTGGTGTTCTAATGGAAGTGCTCCATTGTAGGTTTTTCTCAGTTAGAACCTCTATTTCTACCTT